CCCCCGAAGACCACCCAAAGATGCTAACAGACATGCGTGAAAGATATTTACATATGCTAATTAGTTCCGAGAAATATAATGAATATTTACATGTGTGATTCTATTTAACCTGAAGCAACAGGGCGTCTGGTGCGCACGTTTGGAGGAGAAATCCCCCATGTGCCCAGCGCCGCAATAAAGAATCCCTGCTTAACAGTATACATTGTACTGTTAGGTTTACAGCCTGCTGTAGGTGACCCTGCTTCGGCAGGGGGGTTGGACTAGATGACCCCCAGAGGTCCGTTCCAACCCCTACCATTCTGTGATTCTGTTTTTCCTACCGGATCTTCAAACCACGTGTGCAAATCGCCAGAGCAAGGGGCTCGCAAATCGCCAGTCCTGTGGCTCTGCTGCCAGATTTCATTTCTTGTCACAGCTGCTGCGTGGTTTAGTAGCCGGATTCCCAAGAAAACAAAACCCATAGGAGCACAAAGGCGGAGCGCTCACAGCCTTTGTCTGTGGGTGTGCATGTGTGTCTGTCCTTCCTCCCCACCCTTAATAAATTTTTTAATCGGTTGGTCAATTGGTCGATCCTATGTGACAGGGGGAAGGAGTGATTATAAACATCCTGACTAGGGAAAAAAAAAATTTGGGTGGAACTTGCACCTTTACTAGAAACCAGATAAGCCCAGCTGTGAGATGCAAACGCTGCAGAGCCCAGCCTTAGCAGAGCCCAGCCCAGCCCTGGCTCAGGCCTTTGTGTTTAACAAATCAACAAATACAGCTATTAGCAAAGTTGAATACCAGGTGAATCTGTCAACAGATTCAGGAGGACAATAAATCACCCCAGTCCGATAGCAGTGGAGTAAAGCTTTGACCATGAGCTCTAAAGGCTCTCTAAGCAGCCAAGCAGGAGTTGCTAGAACCTGGTATTTCCATACACCTAGAACACATGGCTTTGTCGTGCAGTGTTCAAAATTATTCAGAAGCGTAACATAAAACCTCTCTCCAATTTCCTAATCTAAGAAAACAGATGTTAATCACATTTGAAAAACAAAGAGGATCTGGCAGAGCTCCCTCAGGTCCGATCTGCACGTTGGGCTGTGCAACAGCTTGGTTGCTGCCCTGCCAGCCGCACGGGAGCTTTCTGCTTTCTCCGTAGCAAAATCAGAACATGGAGTGATTTGTGTCAGTGTTATCGCTGCACACATTTAAGCACAGCCTGTTGTTTTAGAAGGTGTACAAAACTGCTTTTGGAAACATCCTTTTTTATTTTTACCTGCGCTATTTCCCCGTTCTTGGCAGCTATTTGGATAAAAAGCGGAGTGGTTTTGGTCGTGTCAGCGTCGCAGGGTAGTGGAAAGAGCGCTGGCATTCGAATGTTTCCCAGCAGTGGAGAATTTGTCTGCCAGCTCTGGGGAGTGGAGGTTTGGTCTTCCACTGATTTCTGTTAGATTCGGTGACACTCTGCACGTGCCCAGAGGCGCTCAACAGCTTGCTTGACATCCCTGAGACGCTGTCCTGAATAAGAACTGGTTTTTCTTTCTGAGACAATCAATTTAAATGTGGCAGTGTTAAACTTTGGCAACAGGTTATTTGCAAGATCTTTCCCTTGCTTCTAGCTGATAATCACAGAATCACAGAATGGTAGGGGTTGGAAGGGACCTCTGTGGGTGATAATCGTATCTTTCCCCCTCCTCTTCCAGTCATGTTTTCTTTATGCCTGAAGAGAATGCCACCTGCACAAGTGTGAAGGAGGAATAGCAACATTTGGAGGGAGTAAATGGCAACAGAAAAGAGGTGCAATGATTTTGGGTAGGGCAAAAAACCCAAACAAACCAACAACAAACCGACAAGTTTTTCTCAGAAACCTAAGGTCATACGGAGATGTTGCATAAGGCTGTGCTCCAGATCCTAAGACAAAGTCGGTAACTCAGCTTTCATATGGAATAAAAGTGGTTTTTAAGACTTGTGGTTGTGAGGACAGAGCATGAGTATGTGGACCAGATATGATCTGTGCCCTTCTGAGCGGGCAAACCAGCTGAAAACAACCACTGCGGGAGGGAGGAACTTCTTCATTCATTTTACCCCTGAAGTCTGCCGCTTTGGGCAATGACCTACTTTAATAACACTCCTACACAATATTCTTCAGTGAGGCTTTTGCTGTGCTGCAGAGACCGCCTTGATGCTCAGGGGAGTGGAGAATGAACCTTTCCTTCTCTGGAAAAGCCCGAGTCTACGATCGACTGTGAAGGGCAGACA